CAAAATGCTGGCTTGCATCCATAGATGCTTCTCAAGCAAATCCCGGGACGTCATTCTCCCCTTGTACTCGGCCTTAGTGAGGCCGCAGCTGGAGTACTGCGTCCAGTTTTGGGCTCCACAATTCAAAAAGGATGTGGAGAACTTGAGAGAGTCCAGAGAAGAGCCACGCGCATGATCAGAGGTCAGGGTAGCAGACCCTACAATGACAGGCTGAGAGCCCTGGGGCTCTTTAGCCTGGAAAAGTGCAGGCTCAGGGGTGATCTGATGGCCACCTACAAGTTTATCAGGAGTGACCACCAGCATCTGGGGGAACGTTTGTTCACCAGAGCGCCCCAAGGGATGACGACTAGGTCGAATGGTCATAAACTACTACAAGACCGTTTCAGGCTGGACATAAGGAAGAATTTTACTGTCCGAGCCCCCAAGGTCTGGAACAGCCTGCCACCGGAGGTGGTTCAAGCGCCTGCATTGAACACCTTCAAGAGCAAACTGGATGCTTATCTTGCTGGGATCCTATGACCCCAGCTGACTTCCTGCCCTTCGGGCAGGGGGCTGGACTTGGTGATCTTCCGAGGTCCCTTCCAACCCTAATGTCTATGAAATCTATGAGATTCCATTGCCCCATTGCATCTTTAAGTGAATATCTGCCAAGGGTCGTAATGCTTTGCATAATGGATGTTTCTAATAAGTGGGAAAGAGCAATGTTGAATATAAATCTGTCTCACTTCATTGTTTTAGAATCCTGAACATCCTAACAAAGATTACATCATTAATTTTGAGATTCGATCCCTACGAGACAGTCGTGCATTGATTGAGGAGGTTGGGATTGAGGAGTCTTCCCAATTCATAGAAGATAATCCACATCCCAGACTTTGGTAAAATCCTTTTTCATTACCCTCTCTTCTGCTCCCACTGACTCCTTCTAGACACTTCTGGTCGTTCTAGAAACACAGGTCCTCAGCAGCTATAGATCAGTGTAAATTTATAGCCTTCAGAGTTTGGTACTATAGGTAGTTCAAAGAACAAAGTTGATTTTTTTTGTTTGTTTTAGAATTACCAATATTTAGCAGCAGCATGAAGAATTGCTGTGTAATTGCCTTGTGTCTGGAGGCTGAGTGGATTATTCTTGCTTCTGAGGGTGCTGCTCTCGGCATATAATTGGTAAATAAAGTACTTATTCTTGAAATGGGAGGCTTGTATTAAGTTGCTTCTGGAGTGTTTACTGTGAAATGATATTGGAAACCAGGTAAGTAACCTAGTCCTTGCTTGCCTGGCAAAGTTCATTTTTGGCATCATGGCAAAGGCATGGTTCTTAACCTTAATTTGGTACAGCCTTAAAATAAACTATTGATTGATGGATTCCCTGATATAAGAAGACAATTTACTGGTGAGAGAGCTGGTCAGGAAGGCACTAGTCTGTCTGAATTGAAGCATTCCAAAGGAATATATCAATTTTGGGGAAATGACTGACGGAAACCTGCTTAGTTTCCCTCTACCCTGCTTCTAGTTCATTGATAACCTGCTTGGCAGGGATCATGAGAACCAGGGTTCATGGGGCTTCCTGGCTTCTCAGCAGCTCACCTGGATGGCTGCTGCAAAGTCCGGTCTTGCATTGCTGTATCAACTTTCCAGAATTTTTTTTTAAGCTTGCCTAGTGGATTTCTCTGGAGTTGTCCAGGCCTTGCATGCTACTTAGCAGCCCTCCTGGCAAGGAATTTAAGAGCTGCAACTTTTCCAGACTCCCAGCTTTTCAGCAGCTGATCCACTGAGGTGCTTGGCTGCAGGGCTTACTAGGCATTTCCTAGTTAAGAGCCTTAGTTTTAGTCTTTTCTGCCCAGTGATAGTGCTAAAGCTTCTTTGCGTGTGGTTATTTAGCATGACAAGTGTTTAAATAATTGTTATGCTACTGGGATTGTTTGACAATCTGAGTTTTGCTTAAGTGAAGGCAGTTCCCAACATCTTCCTCACAGCAAACCTTCAGAATGAATCTTTAGGTGCTCTAGCACTGTTCCTTTACGCTACATCAAAAAGTTTACTGGTGCTTTTGAAAATCCTGAGTTTATAAATCTAACTTTCCGTATGTTTGTAGACCCACTGCTATATATTACAAGTCTTGAGAACTTTACATTAGTACAATATAATATACATACCTATAGGGAGCTCATCATTTTATTGTCACTGATAGCCATTATGGCAGTGTGAGCAGCATTGCACAGCTATTTTAGAGGTTAGCAGAGAAGGATAGTATGTTAATCGTTTATGAGGAGTGCTCAAGCCCTGCCCCATGGAGCCATGGGTCAATAACTTAGGTGTCAGGGAGCAAAGACAATTAACACTATCATCTGCCCCCCCCACACTGCCAAATTTCCACATCCTGGATCAAATCCAGTCCCAGGCAATTGCTATGTGGCCCGTGGACCGACCTGATACCACCCACTCAGCCCATTGGGTGAAAGGGTTGGGCACCACTGAGTTAGTGAAACAAAATAATTTGAATGAGTTGAAATTTGGCAAAATTCACACTTGTACCCTTGAAGTAAGAAGCATAGGCTATTTATAGAACTAATATCACAACCTCCCCTTTCTGAAAAATTGTACTGCTTACAGCAAAGTGGTCCAAGGCATTTCTCCTTTTCTGGTGGAGAGCATAATGCCCTCTACTGAATCACCACCTCCACTTACTGCAGCATCCGAGTGTTCCTGCGAGGTCTCAGTCAAGCACTGATCACTGTATCCATTTCATCTGTTGTTCTTTATCAGATATCTGTATTACAGTAGGAACCATGGGCCCCCATTTTGCTGCATCCTGTAGAAAAATATAAAAGAAAGTCCAAGTCTTTGCCTTGATGTTCAGTCTAACTTAAGTATAATGCACAGGAGAAGAATTCAAAGGCAAAAAAGCTGAGGAAGAGCATAAGTGGAGAGCTCAAAATAGGAAACAGTGGGATTTGAAGAAGCAACAAGCTGATTCTAGGGTGTGGATAGTTAGTTGTATGGGTAGCAAGAAAGAAGATGCTACCGAGACTGAGTAGAGGTAAAGCTTCAGTAAGGAAAGGCTTCACAAGGGAGAGGCTGGGCCCAGTTGTGTTGAGACTTTACGACAAGATGCTTGAACCTGATATGGAATAAGGAAAAGGGGAATACATTCAAGGGATTTAAGGAAGTGTGACATGGAAAAAGTTTGGAAAGATTATTAATTTAGCAGTGTTCTGATTTGACTGAAGGGAGGGCAGGTGAGAAGGACGGACTATTTTTTCATGTTTTGAGATGATCCTGATACAAACCGTGCTTTTGCAGAGGAGATGGGGTGACAAAATGAGGAAATGGAGACTTAGATACTCTTTAATTAAACGCAGACCCAGTTCTTAAAATAGAATTCTAAGATCCGGCCCATTGTACTGTATAAGAAATGAAGAAAGAAACACATCTGTGAACACAGGACTTATACAGAAAGCTATTTAGTGGCCCATGTCCCAAGGCTGACTGCATGAGTGCCATAGTAAATAACTTAATGAAAAATGTCATTGACAAGAAACTGTGGCATGTTGCCAGTCACTTTTAATAGTCCAGAGATTGGTACTACACGTATCTGTTTCCACAGTAATTTATGACTCTGTTTTGAAGCTGTTAAAACGATTTGTTTCAACATACCTGACACAGGCTGGTCCAAAGTGGATCTGAGAGTAGACTGAATTCTAACAAGTCAAAGGGGAATTTGGGGCCACTAAATTATTGGCTGGAACAGACTCACTTTAAAAGCTAAGATGTCTTGAAAGCAGTGAGCTTTTGTGTTGTGATTCAGTTTTAAACTTGTAAATAGGATAACTGAATGTTGAAAGTTTGAAGAATCTCTTTTTTCATGAAGGTATGTATCCATGTTACTGAACTAGCTGAGCTAGTTTGGGCCCTGTTTATTTCAGTATAAATCTGACTGTGTGTTTTGTCATGTCCCTGTAAAAGTTTTATGTAGTGGGATCACAAAATGCAGACCAAATCCTGGTGATCTTACTCTGTCAAAAACTGCTAGTTACTGAGAATTTTGATGTCTGTTCAACCACGATTTATACAGAACAAATTTAAAATTTGAAATGGTCAATTGTGTTTATGCAGCAGATTTGTTGCAGTTAAGATTAAGGTAATGCATGCACTGCTACAGCCTTCTGTAGATGGTAGATTCATTTTATTTTATAAGTAACCCTTCTGTGTTATTTGCTGCAAAGCCTAAAGCAGATGAGTTGATACTTTCAAAAATCTGACATGGCAAATATTAGATTGATATAGATCATCTTTGATGCATGTTTTGAGTTGACTAATGTCACTGGAATTTTGTCAAAAAGTTTTGAAACACTATATGGTGAGAATGCTTTAATTGCACTGTCTTTTATTCAATATGCTAAGTGTCTAGATCTTAGATTTATTTTTTAAATAAATTTTAGGTTCATCCAAATGACAGATTAACATAGGTTGCTCTTGAGGTAGGGATCTTCTGTTTATCTACAGGATGGAAGAGAGCGGTCTGCGCAGTGGCAGTGCAAACTTCTCTGTACTGCCTAGGTGGCAAACATCTAATGTGGAGAGAGTGGGATGGAAAGGATAATTTATTCTCCATAGCCCATTTAAGTGTGGGTCTTCAAACCCAGGTTGCCATCCAGGCTTCTAGTTGTAATCTGCATGTGAGGAGATGAATCTAACTGAAACTGGAGTGAGGGAGCTCCTTTAGAGCCATAAAGCCCCACACTTTCAGTCCCTGCCAATCCTGGTCAGTCTTGAACAGGTGAACTAGACGCTATTCCTAATCACTTGCCAAAAACTTAGGTTAGACAGCATACAAAATGTAATTGCAGTACGTGGGCTCTCAGGTTTGAGATTAAGTGTGAACTGTAGATGCGGATAGAGTTGCCCCTAACTTGTCTGGCTTTTCCTGACTCATTAAGTGGTTCCCAGTATCATGTTCTAATTAGCTGCATTTGTGAAAGATTTAATAGCTGTCAAATCTTTTTTTTTTTTCTTTTCCATACAGGCGTCTCCTGGCTGAAGCTGCTCTTCAAAAGTTAGATCTACCAACTGCTGAACAAGCATTTGTGCGCTGCAAAGACTATCAAGGAATTAAATTTGTTAAGTGCCTAGGCAATCTGCAGAGTGAATCAATGAAGCAAGCTGAAGTGGCAGCCTACTTTGGCAGATTTGAAGAAGCTGAAAGAATGTATTTGGATATGGACAGAAGGTAATTACTAGAAACAGTAATCCCAACAATAGGTCAAGGAAAATACCTGTTAAATAGAGGCACTTAAAAAGAAGTGGGGACATTTAAATAGTGAGCAGGTATTTATTCCTTTCACAATTTACAATTTATAGAATGCGAGAGCAATGTTGGAGAAAGAGAACTTTCCCTATCAGAAGGTAAAAGAATACTGGACAGACTCCCATTAGTTACCACTATGCTATAAAAACCATAAAACTGAAAGGAAATTATTTATAATTGAAAAATAGATCGATTTTTTTACTTAACAATTAGGCAGTGAAAGTGCTGCGTCTTCTAGAAGCAGAATGCAGTTGTTGACACCCTTTTAAGCCATAAAGCAGTGAAGCATGCTTTTTCAAGCAACAGCGATAGATGGTAGGAAGTAGCAGAGAGCAGCGGGTCTATTTATTTCCTGGCTTCTTCCAGATAGGTTGTTACCTACCTAGAAAGTGTTTTGGTAGCAGCTGGTGCACTCTGAGGGGTTGGAATTCTGGGTAGCCCTTTGTTCCTTGCCTTATTACTGTGAAGACTACAGAGCACCCAACAAAATAAGGCGTTGTCTAGTATATTTCCCTTTCTAATATAGCTTGAAAATTCCTTTTCAATATGTTCCTATTTATCTATCTCAGATATAATCAATTATTATTATCACTAAAACTTTGAGCCTCTAAGGCCCTTGACATGTTACACTTAAGATGCGATTAACAAAATCACATCTTAAGTAGTGACTTGGCTACATGATTATTTAGTTAATGGCATGATAAAACCAGGAATAAGTGACAAAGTTATTACCGGTGTTCCAGGTTTTCCATTTGCCAAGGAAAAACATGGATTTTCTCCTTTGAAGGAGAAAAACACAGGCTGGCAGAGTTCCTGCAAGGGGGTACCATGTGTAGTGCAGTTCTGTGCTGCTGTGCACACTCCTGGGGAGGGGTCGGGTACCAGAGGTGACGTGTTGGAGGGCACGGGGAGGTACATGCTCCCCCAGATTTCTATGCCTACAGTAGGGCACAGGGCTGCAGCCTGGGTGGACCAGCACCGGGTAAGGAGTCACCTCCTTATCCCAGTGGGTGGGATCCAGTGCAGGTGGCATGAGCCCCATGCTAGCACCACTGTCTTGGTGAGGTGCCCCTGCTCACCGCTGCAGTAGGGGAGGGGCACAAGCTGCCCCCCCACTGCGGTGGCAGGCAGGAGGTGCCTCACCTTGGTGGCCATGGCAGTGCAGCTGGTACCGGGCTCATGGTGGTGGTGGCAGCAATGAGTCTTGCTGCCCTGTTCTGTCGCCCCACGCTGGGTCCTGCCCAGTGGCCCGAAGAGGTGGCTCCTGCCTGCTGCTGGTCCAGCTAGGCTATAGCCCTATGCCCCTGGGAATAGAAATCTGGGGGAGCATGCATCTCCCAATGTTTCTCAATGTGATGGTGTCATCTGTGGTTGGGCATGCTGCCTGCTGGGGGGCAGACGCCAGGTCAGAGGCACCAGCGGGGGGGAAGGGAGCAGTGGGTTGGGAGTGAGGGGCATCGGCTGCCTCCATGGGGGTACAAGGCTGCTGTTGCTTTTGTTCCCCAGGGGCCTGGATTGGGGACATGTGGGGACCCTCAGGTCCAGAGGCGGCTCCTGCCGGAGCTCCCAGGCAGTCCCAACTCACCCCAAACCTGAGCTGTGGGGCCAAAGGCTGCCAGGCAGTCCCGCCACAGCAGATCCTTGCAGGTGCTGGTGGGAAGCGGGCTCTGGGTGACTGCAGGTTGGGGGGGGCATATCCACCCACAGCCCCCATCCAGGGCCCCAAGCAGCTGGGCTGGTGGTGCTGGGGTTTGGGGACGGTGGTGCTGGGCCATGGTGGGGGCTGTCTGGTATCCTGGGGCTTGGGGCAGGTTGGGACCACCTGGGGTCTGCTGAGCAAGTAAGCAGGGAAGTTTGGGCCCGGGCTGGAGCCGGAGCCGAAGCAGCTGTCTCCAGGCTGTCTGTGGCCGCCACTGCTAGGTTGAGGGCAGGATGAGCCCACTGCCGCTGGGGCTGTGCTCAGGTGGGGGGTGTGCCCCAGGCCTGGAGCAGCTCTGCAGACACTTGCTCAGCTTGGGCATCCTGCCAGGGTGTGGGGGGGTCCCCCCTCCCTGGGCTCCAGACCCCACTATTGGCAACCTTCCTCCCCAGGCTCCAAACCCCCCACACCTTCACAAATTCATCCCCCCTTCCCCATACCCACCCCTGAACCATACAAAGTACCTGCATAGTTTTGCATTATTTTGAGTTTTTCTGCGCGTAATTTTGACTTTTTATCTGTGTGATTAAAATCGCAATTAATTGTGACTAATTTTTTTAATCGTGTAATGAACTGTGATCAATTTTTTTTAAAGGTTTGACAGCCGTAATTAAAATATGCTGCTCTGGAGGCTGGGGCCACTCATCAGCTGATAAGTTTCCCAGTTACTGCAGCATAGTGAGCTCCTGCAGCTGGGAGCTGTGATCAGTTTATTAAACTCTCAGCCTCACAGATCCCAGCTGCCAGGGCTCCTAGCCACAGGAGCAAACCTTTTTAACATCTGTCAGTGTCCCTTAAGTGCTTCATTTCTCCATGCTGTTCATCTGCAGTGATTGTAGTTCTGAAGGCTTTTCTCAAAATATTGGTGGCTATTTTATGTTTTTTTACTGTTATCTACTATTTTCTGATCTATAGAGACCTTGCTATTGGATTACGGATCAAACTGGGAGATTGGTTTCGAGTACTGCAGCTTCTGAAAACAGGTTCAGGGGATGCAGATGATGCCCTTCTGGAACAAGCGCACAATGCTATCGGAGACTATTTTGCAGACAGGCAAAAATGGTATGGTTCTCTGAAGAAGAAAATAGAATGGTTGTTTCATAATTGAGATTGGCTAGATTCCCTCCTACCCCTAGTTGAGATTAGTGCAGAGTGGGGGAAAAGTCAAGAAGCTAGTCAGCCAGTGAGGAATAACTGAGCATGACCCAGAATGAGTAGATTTCATTAAGGCATGTATCCTACCGTTACCTACAGCTCTGTTGCAAGAGGGAAGGAAGGAATAATCCCAGCTGTGCCAGGAGTTGGGTCACTAAACAAATTCTGAAACTTCTTAAAAAAAAAAAATTAAGGAAATATCAAGGCAGATAGTTTTAAGATGGAGTTAAGCATAGTGAATGTTGTTAGTAAGAGGATGATGACGCTCTTAGCAAAACAAGAGAAAGAAATAAGATTGCCTTAATTCTGACATTGTTAGTTATCTTAAACCCAAACTCTTCAAATTAGGTATATGCAGATTTAAGGCCACCCAAACTACATTAACTTTACCTGTGTAAGGAACTTGGCCCCCAAAGACACTGAAGGCCATATTTTTGGGGGTGTAACTTTAAACATTTAAAAAAAAAATGCAGTGCCTAATTTTTCAGAAATGTTGAGCTGTTGCATTTTCAATTGACTTCAACTACAGTGCCGATCAGACCATAATTTTTAAAAGTGGAGTAGTCAGAATTGGTGATGCTCAAATAGAGCACATTTCTGGAAATGGTTGTAAATATATCAGTGGTTGCTTATGGTCCATGACAGATTGAGCAATACAATAATAATAGGGTTCTTGACGCTTACCCCTACACTAGCCAACAAATCTTATTAATACTGCTATTTAAGGACATTTTGAAACTAAAATTTTAGTGTGCTCTAGGGTAGCGTATTTTCCACAAGAAAGTGAATTTATATGAATCTGACAAAATATATATTTTAATTTGTTTAATGACAAAGTTATGTTTAGTTAGCACTTTATTAACGTCTGCAATTTTTATATTAGTAACTTTTTTTTCTTCTTAGGATAAATGCTGTTCAGTATTATGTACAAGGAAGAAACCAGGAACGTTTAGCTGAATGTTACTACATGTTAGAAGATTACCAAGGACTAGAAAATCTGGCTAACTCACTTCCAGAAAATAACAAGTTACTTCCTGTATGTATAAAAACTGGCTGTATCTTTAAGACTCTCTGGTCATGGCTCATTTGCATTAGTTTTTTGTTTTTGGTTTGTTTGGTTTTTTTTGCCGTAAATTTTTTCATGGCTGCTTTCACAGGTAGCAATGGCCATTGTCATCTTCTTGTGGCTCTGTGTCACATTGTCTCTACACCACAGCAAGAATGGTAATGTTAATGGAAATGAATGTTAGAATTATTCCAGAGGCTTGAAAGAGGGAGAGAGCCTGTCAGCATGATCTAATGTGATGTCTTAAGTAAGGGTTAAGAAAAATTGGTAGTTTGCTTATGTTTTCCAAAGTATTTGGAAAAGACAAATCATGTTACATTGAATTGATACATTACAATCTGCCTGACAACTGACTCCCCCGCCCAGCCCAGCCCCTGGCTTGTTTACTTTTCATTCCATCCAGGAAGAGCACACACCAACTGCTGCAGCTTCCTTAGCCTGACGAAGGGTTTTTGAACCCAAAAGCTTGCTTAATAACTATTCTCCAACCATTTGGGTTGGTCTAATAAAAGATATCAAATTCACCCAAGGAACCTTGTCTGCCTATGTTACATTGAATGGCATTTTAATATAACATGCTATTTCAGATCAACGCTCTCTTCCAACCGCGTCCTGGTTTGCTAAGTTCTCCAATATATGCACTAAATCCTAGGAAGAAGCATCTCAGTGCCTGTAATGCTAAGATTTTTACCTGTACCACTAATAAATCTGAGCCAATGTAGATCCAAGAAACAAGTTGTAAAAGCAAATATATTCCTTAAGGTTACTGTAGGGTTGTTGGTTGTAGCCATGTTGGTCTAAGGACATAGGCAGGCAAGGTTCTTTGGGAAAATGTGATATCTTTTATTAGACCAACTAAATTGGAAAAAAGTTCTTAGCAAGCTTTCAGGCACAGGGGAGACTCTACTGGTGTTACGTGTTTACCAAGGTAGAAAAGAAGCTAATTTACAACAAGCAGGTTTGTGAAAATGCAAGTGAGTTGAAGTTTGGAAGACTGTGGGTAGAGATACCCCGAACCTCGCTAACCTCATCACCAGAAGCAAACTTCCTATGACCCAAACCACATCAAATGGATCCAGACCATGCCAGGACAAGAAATGTAAAACCTGCCAATTGCATCTCCACCAGTCCCACAATAACTACAGCATACAACAGGACCATCACCATTCCTGAATTTTACACCTGTGGCTCCAGAAACGTAATATATCTCATCCAGTGCACCAAATGGTCTGATGGAAAATATGTAGGAGAAATCAAACAAAAACTGTGCACCAGAATAAATGCACACTGAAAATCCATCAAAGACAAAAATACCCAATTACCTATGGGTGCCCACTTCTCACAAGACAGTCACTCTCTCTCCAATCTCTCAGTTCTAATCTTCAAAGGGAACTTAAAAAAACTGCCTTTTGTAGACAGCCTATGAATTTCACTTCATAAATCTACTGGATACAAAAAATCATGGACTTAATATAGACATTGGATTTATGATGCATTAGAACCTGCCATCTGATACCGCAGATGACCTGCTTCCAGCTAACTGTTTGTATTCCTTCACACATTTCCCTCCCTTCCCCCGCTTCCCTCCTATGTCTACCCATTGTCTTCCAAACTTGCCTGCCTTAAGGTTACAGTAGCACATAGGCGATGCATACGGGGGACATGAGTGGTGGTGGGGGCACGGGGAGTGCTGGCCAATGCTCCCCCTGAGAAGCGCCAGTGGCATTTCCAGTTTGCCGCCGCTGCTTCCAGGGTCAGCGATCAACTACTGGGACACCTCCCCAGTCAACAATTGGCCTCTGGTGCCCCCCCCCCCGCAGAGCCAGGAGGCACCAGTCGGCGATACTGTAGCATTATAGAATCTGTAAAAAAGATTAATACAATGACAGAGATTGTAGTAGCATTCATTACTAAAATGGTGTCCTGCAAATCTGGAAAGAAATGGTAGCAGGATTCTGATATCTTTTGCAGGATATAGCTCATATGTTTGTGAGAGTGGGGATGTGTGACCAAGCTGTGTCTGCCTTTCTGAAATGTAATCGCTCAAAGGACGCAGTAGATACCTGTGTCCATCTCAATCAGGTAAGACAATGATGATAAAAGGTGGTATTGTATTGGGTTGGAGGATTAATAATGAGATTTTTCATGTTGGTCCACAGTTAGATTTCAGTCCGTTTTAATCATATAATGTGTATTCAGAATCCTTCTAAAACTCACACTCCAGTTTTTAAACCTATCACTAATTATTGGAGACTAGGAAGAAGCCATCCTAGAGGGTGTATTGTTTTACACCTGGCAGGCAAGGTTCTTGGCTTTTACTGGGTGTTTTGCCCTTCTCTGAAGTCACTGAGACAAAATACCAGAGTAGTTAGACCACAGAACTGCTTTAGTTGACAGTTTCACTGGTCCTCAATGATATCAGCTTATGTGACTCAGCAGGCAAGTGTGCGTTTTGGTATGACAACCCTTATTGAAATCTCAGGAGAGAAGCTGATGTGGGACCGGGAATGGTAACTCTAAAACTCTAAAAGTAGATTTAGAATAGCTGCAGTACAAAGTTTCTCCAACTCTTTATGTTTTTTATTTCTTTAGTGGATAAAGTTCTTCAAATTCACATTTTGCCTGGCCAGAATACCATTAGGTTGTAAAGTAATAGCTGCTGGGGTTAAGAAGCAATTGCACACACAAGTACTGTATTATCTCCTAACTACTGTTCTCCACAATTGGTTGGGTGCCTGCGGTGGAGGGTTTACACCATCTCTTATGTGACTGTTAGTACTAGGTGGCTGCTTGAGGAACAGTACTTAATAGCCACTTTTCTGATCCAGTATGCTTCCTTTAATCCTTTTTGGACACCACATGCTGTTAAAAGCAAGTAAAATGAAAATAAACTTCTTAGAACACTAAGCATATATGGGAGCAAATCACAAGCTGAATTCGGTCCTTGTACAACTTCCTTTATTGTTGATAAAGGTTTATAGTTTATAGTTGACAAAGAATTTGGGTATCACAATTTAGTAAAATTTGAATAAGGACCTCCAGGATTTGGTCAATTTTTATCCATAAAGAAGTGAAGCCAGACATAAACAAGTCATGCCATACCTCTAAGTGTATTTTCCTTATTAAAAAGAATACATCAAAAATCTGTAGAAAGTGTTTGGTTTATAGAAATAAGACAAATAGATTTGCTAATTTAGACTTAAAAGTTTTTCCATGATCCAGTTTAGTTCTGAATTGTTTTACTTCTGTTGGATACACTCTGAGCTGTTTCAGAGCTTTTCTGCAGAAGATTCAATTCTGGCAGTTACAAAAAAAATAATTTACTATAAGTTTTGCTTATTAAAATCACAACTTCTGTTTTCTTATAATACGATGGAATGCTTTGACTAAGAAGATTATTGTAGTTTATTGAGGATGTAACTAAAAACTTGTAAAAACGAATAACTGATTGCTCTTGTTTCCAGTGGAATAAAGCTGTTGAGCTGGCTAAAAATCACAGTATGAAAGAGATTGGATCACTTCTTGCTAGATATGCCTCTCATTTACTGGAAAAGAATAAAATCCTTGATGCCATAGAACTCTATCGTAAGGCCAATTATTTTTTCGATGCTGCCAAACTCATGTTCAAGGTATTCAAGGCTCCTCTTTAATTCTGAGTAATACAGGATAGTTAGCAATAGCATGTGTAGGTGTCAACAGTTAGTTTTATGTACTGCACTTTAAATTTTCCATTGTTAACTATTTTCAGGGAACAAACAGGTGTTTGAGGTGTATAAGACATGCTAATTATAAAACCATTACATCATTGTGTAGTGCAAGTCAGAGTTAGGTTTGAGGTATTCTTTACTTCCAGTCATGCTGTGCTGTTAAACTTCAGAAGTAGAGTAAGTTCAGTGGTGGTTACAGAGTATTTTAATATTATAAAAGCTTAGGCCTGCCTGTCTGTCTGTCACACTTTATTCGCAACTGAGTGGACAGAAGGAGGAGGGAGGTGGTGAGGCCAGCAGGGCATTCTTGATAGGTAGTTGGCTAGTCTCTATATATTTAAGTTTAGAAAATCCTGTTCTTATTTTTTTGAAATTACAAAGGCTACATTAATGTTTATATTGCCACAGCAAATGTTTAGATTGTATTATTTCTAAAGCCGTTTCTTTTACCGTGGTAAAAACACCAGATGTCATTTAGTGTGTAATTGTAAAAAAAAAAAAAAAAAAGAAATATTTTTATGGTCCTTATTTCTTTAAGATTGCAGATGAAGAAGCAAAGAAAAGGACTAAACCTTTGCGAGTTAAAAAGCTTTATGTATTAGCAGCTTTACTTGTAGAACAATACCATGAACAAGTGAAGAATGTACAAAGGGGAAAAGTGAAAGGAAAGAGTTCAGAGGTAAAGTATATCAAATACTTCCCAGCAGTTTTATAAATGCCTAATATGTATCATCCATCAGAGTAAACAAATGAAAGAATATAATATTATTTTAAAATAGTCTCTTATTTCTAACATGTTTTTATTTCTTCCTAAGATTTATAAAGGAGCATGCTGCTTAAAAACATTATTTAGAAATAGCTAAATTGTGTTTTTAACATTTATTTTTTTTAAATAGCCTTTGAATATTATGACGGGATTCTCACAGATGAATCCAGGGTTTTTTGTGCTTGGTATGAAGTGATTGGTAGGAATGATATACCAGTTTCAAAAGGGATTTATTACATAGATCAAGAAATACTGCCTATAACTCAGCTGGGTCAGGTAAGTTAGTGTGTGCAGTATGGGAACGCAACTAGAAAAAATAGTTCTCATATTCTTTATATTCCCATCTTCATATACACCAGTGGTTCTCAGCATTATTGGACTCAAGGGACCTCTTAGAAAATAATAGCTCTTAGCTTTTCCTCACTTTTTAAAGAAAAATAGAGCAATTCTTGTGTTGCAAAGAACTCAGAAAGACCACAACAGTTCGGAGTGTTTGTGACACTGTGGATTTAAACTAGGTTTCATGGGGGATGGTGATCAAAACTCTCTAGCAACAGAGCACATAGTCCAGAGAGGAACGGACTTGAAGAAGCAACTCAGCTCTGGGAAAGGGCCAGAGCTACAGGACTGCAACAAGTGATGCAACAGGGAAGTGACGAGGTCAAAACGCAAAATGCATCTGATACATGTATACAATAAACAAGATGAGCTGGAAGTTGCAGCCTGTGAAAAGAACTATGAACTCATTGGCATCACTGAGAGCTTGTTGGACAGGTCTTATGACTAGAATGTCAACGTTGAGGGTACAGTGTTTTGGAAGGACAGGTGGGAGAAAAGGTGGTGGTGTTGCCTTGTAGATCAAAAAACACATGCACTTGTTCCCTGGTTCAGAAGGAAAAAGACAGCAAAGCAGAATTCATCTGGGAGAAGATAAAAGGTGAAAGATATATAATGGTGGGGATTTATTATAGGCCAGCAAATGAGGAAGAGGAGTTGGATGAGGCACTCTTCAAGCAGGTGACAAATCTATCCAAGAGCTGTGATATGGTTTCATAGTAGCTAGGGTCAGGAGGGACCTGAACAGATCATCTAGGGACCTGAACAGATCATCTAGCCTGACCCCCTGCCACAGGCAGGAATGAATGCTGGGTTCACAAGACCCCAGACAGGTGATCATCCAACCTCCTCTTGAATTTGTCCAAGGTAGGGGCGAGGGACCACTTCCCTGGGAAGTTGGTTCCAGGTTTTGGCCACCCTAACTGTAAAATATTGCCTTCTGATCTCTAACCTAAACCTATTCTCCATCAGTTTATTATTATTATTCCTTGTCACCCCAGGTATTGCTGGGGAGAAAAGGGCTCTGCCTGTTTGCTGCTATTTGCTGGTACTGGTGGGAGACTTCAATTTTCCAGACATCTGCTGGAAAAACAATGTAGCCAAACATAAAATGTCAAGCTGGTTCCTGACTTGTGTGGAGGACAACTTTCTGTTCCAGAAAGTGGAGAATACAACCAGGGGAGATCACCTATCTTGGATCTTGTCCTGACCAACAGGGAAGAATTGGTGGAGGATGTGAAGGTGATGGGTAACATAGGATAAAGTGATCACAATACTACAGACTTCCAGATCCTGAGATGGGGAAAGAATGAGGTCAGCAAAATTAGGATGCTAGTTTTAAAAAAGGTGGATTTAATCTGATTTAAGGAGCTAATAGACATGGGATTGAAGGATGAAGCTGCATAGGAGGGCTGGGAGCTTCTAAGGGACACAGTATTGGAAGCCCAACAAGAAAGTGTCCTGACACAATGGAAGCACAAAAATGGCAAGAGACCAATGTGACTGAACAAGGCGCTGCTAAATTGCCTCGAATGCAAAAGGAAAGCATACAGGCGATGGAAAAATGGGAAGGTCAGCAAGGAAGCATACCAGGAAATAGCAAGAACCCGCAGGGACAAAATTGGGAAGGCAAAGACAAAGAAAGAGCTGCACCTGACAAAGGAGTTTAAGAACAACAAGGAGTTCTGTAAGTATATTAGCCAGCAAAGAAGGACCAAAGAAGCCAGGGAGAACAAGATACAGGGAAGGCAGAGCTACTTAACAGCTACTTTGCTTCAGTCTTCACAAAACAATTAAGCTGAAAAAATAGAAATTCTATTTTTAATAGAAATACTATTTATATACATAGCCATACTCCTACCAAAGATTATTTGGAGAAGAAAGGGGGCAAGCTGAGGCGATAACAAAACAGGTGGTCATAGAGCTTTTGTTGGGTCTGAATGAATTCAGGTCAGCAAGGCTGGATGAACTTCCGAGGTCCTAAAAGAACTGGCAGAGGAGATCTTGGAGCCCTTAGCAATGATCTTCATGAAGCTGTGGGAGACGGACCAGATACCAGATGACTGGAAAAAGTTCAGTGTTGTCTGTCTTTAAAAAAGGCAAAAAGGAGGACCTGGGGAACTAAAGAGTAGTTAGCCTCAGCTCAGTATCTGGGAAATTGCTGGAGCATATCCTGAAGAAAGCCATTCACAAGCAACTGGAGGAGGAATGGCTCATTGCAAGTAGCATGGATTTATGAAAAACGAATTGTGTCAAACAAACATTCTTCTTTGACATATTAACTACTTAGGTGGATGAAGGGAATGCCGTGGATATAGTGTATCTAGATTTCAGCAAGGCTTTTGACAGGGTCCTGCATGACCTTCTCATAAACAAATTGGAGAAATGTGGGCTAGATAAAACTACTATAAGGTGGATAGATAACTGGCTCAGTAGCTGCAAGCAAAGGGTAATTATTAAAGGGGTTAAATGTTAGAAGGGCAGGAGGTTTCAAGTGGAGTCCCACAGTGGTCTGGCCTAGGTCTGGTGCTGTTCAACATGTTTAATGATTTGGATGTTGGCATAGAAAGCTTCTTGAGCAAGTTTGCAGACAACATGAAACTAGAAAGCATTGCAAACATGTTGGAGGATGTGAGCACATTTCAGAAGGATCCTGACAGATTGGAAAGTTGGGCTAGAGCTAACAGGATGAAGTTTCAGTATGAACAAATGCAAGGTGCTATATCTTGGAAAGAATAATAAAAAACACAAATATAAAATGGGTGACACCTGGATGGATAGCTGTACTGTGGAAAAGGATTTGGGAAGCTTGGTAGACCAAACTCAATATGAGTCTAATGTGATGCAGCTGCACAAAAGATGAATGCTGTTTTGAGATGCATCAATAGAAGCATTAGGTGTAAGAAATGGGAGGTGGTAGTGTCTTTGTACTCAACAAGGTCTTACATGTGATGATTTTTTTAAGGCTACTTCAGCTTTAGCTGGATTGCTGGAGGAAGATGTTCTCTCTTCAGCTAATCGCTTCACAGATAATGCCTGGAGGGGAGCTGAGGCTTATCATTTTTTCCTACTTTCACAAAGACAGCTCTATGAAGGTTATGTAGATACAGCAATGAAAACAGGTAAGGTTTCTCTGCTGTATAGATGGTTAGAAAATTTAAACTATTCTGTAAGCCCCACAAATTACTCCTTATACTTGCTTTGTTTTCTTTTGGTTGGGCCTGATTCCTGTGATTTAGAAGAGGAGTTGGTAACATACAGTGCTTGGTCTGGATCTGGTCCACAGAGCCCAGGGCTGTGGGGAGTAGGGAGCAGGGTGTTTTGCCTGTGTTGTAGTCTGGCATCAGGGAGAAGCAGCTGTAGCAATGGCAGCCAGAAGTACTGCCTCCCCTCCCCACCCACTGACCCAAGCAAGTTACATCTGGCCTGCTGCTGTTGCTGCTGATTTAGAACTTGAAATAATGTAATTAACAGAGTATTGTAACAATCACCAAAATGAAGGGAAAAGATGTCAGTTTGAGCAACAAGTACCATATATTCTCACATATAGCTCACCCCTGTGTATTGTATGCACCTTGATTATGAATGGGAGGCTAAAGGGAAAAAAAGCATCTTTAATTGAGGTAACTGGCAGCAGCTAGGGAGCCAGGCCTGTTCCCAAACCTGCTGCCAGCCTGTGTGCTTGATGGGGCCCATGGAGCCACATGCTGGGTCTGAGCCTGCACGCTGGGTCTAGGGCTGCATGCTGGGTTCAGAGCAGGGTCAATCCCTATGTAGTGGATCTGCTGGAGGTAACATGATCCTGGACTCGGCACACCAGTCCAACCTGGCATGTGGTTCTGGAGTCAGTGTATAAGGTCAGACTTGGTGTGCTGGGTCTGGCCACAGGCCAGCTCCATGTCCTGGTGTGATCCAGTGTGCAGATGCATAAGGAGGCTTCTCTTCCCCTTTCCCCCAATGGAAATTTGGTCGGGGGGGGAAGAAGGAGAAACTGCCACAGTGGGAATTGCTGCTGCTACCAGTTACTTCAGTCAAAGATCTTTTTTTTTCTTTAGGCTTTATTCATAATCAAGGTGCATATAATATACATGGATATGCTATATGTGAGAATATATGGTATGTGTTACTCTTAGTGGTAACTGCCACAGCTCTGAGACATTGCAATTAAATACTACCACTGCTTACTCATGCTGCTGCCCCCACCCAGTTTCTGGACCCATGGGGATCCTTTTTCTCACATATATAATGTGCACCCTGATTTTTCCCAGGTGGTTTTGCAGGGAAAGATGAAGGTTTTATGTCAGAAAATACAGTAATTTTAAAGGGGAATTGCCAGTATTACCAAATATAGAGGTCTGAAATGGAACTTGTAACTAGCTATTTTATCAGATTAAATAATCCCCCTAAAGTGTGGACAAGCCTGTATCTGGAGCAGTTTCAAAAAGCAGAGCAGGAACTGTTGCTCCAGACTTTGCAGCAGCTGTTATGCTGTGCCAGTTATCTGGGAACCATGAATATGTAGCAAATTGGCTCCAGCCTTAACTCTGGACGAAGCAGGATTAAAGTTAAAGCTATTCAGCTACAGTTGCTTGGATCAGGGTTTGTGCACATTAACAGTTATAGCATAACAGCTTGTACGTGCTTCGGAGCAGCAGCAACTCCCCGTCTCCTTTTGAAACCATTCCAGATATAGGTCTGTCCATACCTGGTATTTGTAATGACTATGCACCTCTGTTGATTGAATATGGTGTGCCAGAAGCTCACAGCTGTGCTGCTCCTAGATCGGTACTGTACTAGAATCAGTAGGAGTCAGCTGGGCAGATGGTGCTCTCCACTTCTTTTTATGAAAGGCTAAGAATTAAAAGGTAGGGTACAGGGACACTTTTTCAGTTTTTAAACAAACACAAGTTGTTTCTTTAAAACAGGTCGAACTAGGCATGCTCTAGCATTTTCATAGCAGTGATGTGATGGGAAGAATATAATTTTTAAACAAAGTCTCCCTTTATATGTGTGCCTTTTTGAAGCAATATATTGTAGCTGTCTTGTTCTTTTCTTTTTGTAGCTCTTCACCTGCGAGATTATGAAGACATTATCCCTGCAGTTGAAATCTATTCCCTTCTGGCTCTGTGTGCATGTGGCAATAGAGCATTTGGTATTTGTTCAAAAGCCTTTGTTAAACTCGAGTCCTTAGAAACCCTTAGCCCAGAACAGAAGCAGCAGTATGAAGATCTTGCCCTGGAAATATTCACTAAGCACTGTCCTAAGCATAGCAAAAAATCGGATCTGGATGGCCTTTTAGAGAGGTAGGCTATTATTTCGTTTTTTGGTTAATGTTAAAATTTTTTGCTGAAATTGTTGACAGGAAACCAGCAGGGTCTCTGCACTGAATAAGCCCAGAGGGTTGTTATGCCTTTTACCCTGCCACTTAAATTTTTGGTGGGCCTAGAAGGGACTTTTCCTTGGGTATAGACCTATGGCCTGGTCCCACCCAGAGGGCAATAAACCAGTGATTACAAGACAGTTGGATATAAGATCAATGGAAATATATTATAACAAGCCCAGTCACTACCAGTACTAACAATAAAAACAAATAGGAATCATAAGGTAAAACAGTTTGTACAGTATTTACAAGTAACAGCCAAACACCACCATTAAATTACTGCCAGAAGGCGATCCAGAGCACTGAAGGCCTAGTGTGGAGGCTAAGATTGCTACTTCAGCCTCTAGTCACTCACTGAGGATTTCTCTGCCTTTTCCCAGATGGGTACTAAGCACCTCAGACTCAAGGGTAGATGATACTTTACCCTCACAACGAATGGCAGGTACACGGGCAGATGCATTCACATATGGCGGGAGTCATTCCACAGCTTAGTGACGTCCTGGGAGTTGGACCCTTCCCTCAGATCAAACAGTGCCGACTGTCAGATACACACACCACTTATCTTCTCACAAGCCCTTACAATCAATCTCAGTCAAGGGCTCACAAGACCACTTGCTCCCCAATCACATATGAACCCACATATGCAGGTGGGGACTGGGCTGGGCTGGGCTGCCCTCGAGGCAGGTGGTGGCGGCTCTGGGAGTGGGCTACGGAGGGGGAGGAAAGGGTATGCAGCCACCTCAAAATTCCCTGTAGCCTCCCCAACCCTCCCCCACAGCGCCTCTGCCCGCCCTGAACACAGCCTGACCCAGCCCCATCCCTCCTCCCCCCTGCCAGGAAGAGCTTGGCACTGCCCCAGCCTCAGCCCACAGCAGCAGCCCGCCTCAACCCATGTGCAGATCCGGGGGCACACGCCCTACCCCGCCATGCTGTCCCGGGGTGTGCACAGCAGTGGGACCCGCTCCCCTGCCGCACCGCCCCCCCCCCGCCCA